CAATACATATTATCGCTTCTCCTATTTGTTGTTTACAACAAAGATAAATTCAAATTAAATTCTGATGTCTATAACATGAATACTAGACAAAAATATAACTTCCACCTACCCTCATCAACTTTATCAGTATATCAAAAAGGAGTCTACTTTACTGGCATAAAAGTGTTCAACAATCTGCCACAAAGTATTAAAAACTTGGGCAATGATACTAAAAAGTTTAAATCAGAGTTAAAGAATTATCTACATGCTCATTCCTTCTACTCTTTAGATGAATACTTCAATGTAAATAGAGAATGACGTAAAATTAAGTTATATTAATTTTTAAGCTAAAATTGCCTGTACTTATGTATGTAACATTTTGACTTGTTCTGTATCCAAAGGTACTAACCTGCTTAGGATTGATAGAATGTAAATAAATTCAATTCAATTCAATTCAATATGTGAAGGTAACATGAAGACGGATATTAGTAAAGCAGGTTGTGAAGATGGAAGGATAGAACTGGCTCAAGAACATGCCCAATGGCAGGCTCTGATATTAGTGGTGTTGATTATTTTGAGTCTGTCATGAGAAATAGCTATACAAGCTCTAAAAGTTCTGGCACTAACTAAATGTGACAGGAATGTAGTGACCAATTTTTGCCACACGCACAGCTATCACTGGGAAGATATATTCCACTTTACTGCATGCCACAATTAATCTCAAGAATGGTAATTAATCTTTGTAACAAACCTGGCTCCAATCCTATCACATTTTAGACTAAATAAATAAAGTTGCTAAGCTATCGGCATTAATAAGAAAACAAGATTTCACAAAATTTCTCAGTTTATTCTTCCTCTTCATCAAGTGAAATATGCAGGCAGTTTAAGGAGAAGTGATCTGTAGCAGACCAAAGACTTTGTGGAAACCTTATTTGCAAGGATTAAGTAGGAATGACAGTTGTGTAATTATTTCAACATATTCTCTGCAGTCCATGGTCATGAAGCATAAGGCACATAAGCCATAAACATGATTAATGGAGGAAAGCAATACCTGAACTCCAAATGCTGAAACAGGCACACTGTTTGGAAAGCAATAACCCATTCATGCCTCCCCACGACAAAATGGAGATTAATCTTCTTGTCACTCGAGCAGGGGCATGAACAGCTACGTCTTTTTTACTTGCTGCAGATATAATTAATGTCTCCCTTGAGCTATTTGTCTCTTCTTTCTCCTGCACATTCTTCACGTCTTCGCAGAAGAGTTAAATTTTTGTTTAAAAATGCAACACGAAACAAGAAGAGAATTAATTTTGTTTGTTCTGTTCCAGTATAACAGACATTCCAAACATGCCAAAATTAATTACTTCATTCTCCAGCATGTGGCATCCTTGCAGTTAGTGCAGTTTCCGCTGGGAGCTCATCAAAACCTTGTTGTTTTACAGCCCTTGTCAATAAGAACCTAGTAATAACTTTTAATATATCTGCTTATGTTCTGACTTCATGTCAGCCTTTTCCTTGGGCAGTGTGACTGTTTAATGATGTTGCAGACAGAAAACAACGAATTGAAAAAGAAATGTGGAAGAAAATAGTACTATTCTGGCATTTGCTGGATCCTTTCATCAGCCAGGAGAATCCAGTCCACAACCTTACAACCTAGTTATTTGACTTCCAGCTTAACATCATTGCTCATCTGCATCTAGGTCTCTCAAGTAGTCCTTCTGTTCAGAATTCCTATTAAAAATTGTGTATTCATTTCCTATTTCCCATACATGCTACATGCCCCTCCCATCTTATCCTCCTTGTTTTGAACTTTGCAGTAATTGGTAAAGGAAACTTATACAAAGAGGAGCATCATATTTGATACTCCTTACACTAAAGAGTACAGGTTAAATTATGAATCTCTTCTCTTTGCAAGTATCTTCACCCTTCTGTCCGTTTTTCTATGTCAGGTCCAAATATTCTCTTTTGCAATCTGTAACACTAGTATAAGATCTGTAATTATTATTCTTCCCTTAGGCTGAGAAACTAAGTTTCATTGCTACGTATATACAGCATAAATTGAGGTCGGTGGATTATCATGAATACCGACTATGGCAGACATCCAACTTTCAAGTATTCATACTGGAGATATTCTGCTAACTTAATTCACCTTGGAAGTGAATTTTCATCATGGTGAAGCAGCTTTGACTTGACAGTTATGATGAGTCATTATTCCCACTTCTTTAACGCCTTTCTTGTGACATATCCGTGTGGTGGGTCTCAGTGTGAAATGTACGAAAGTATATCCAGTTTTGAATTAGGTCATGTTCATAGCTTAACTGTATAGAACTGAGGTTTTAGATAAGGGTTGATATAGGTTTATTCATTGATTATATAACAGATAAGATATATATATATAACAGGTTTAGGATGGTTTTGTTAAGCACAGAAGAGATATGTCAAAGGCATGGACAGGCCAGTTTGGAACACTTGTCTAATTTATACATAAAAACACTCCAAATACATGAAATTTCACACCACCCAGCACTAACTTATTTATAAACTCAGATGCTAGTCAATACCAGGACATTTCCAATTTCATAGTGATTACCATTAATCTGCTTGCACTTTTGGTTTGTGTACTTCGTTCCATATGAGGTCAGTGCTTCACTTACTATGATCTACTACTGGATCACCACTAACTTATATTTCACCTCAAACTATGTAACTGAATGTGTCAATTCCTTACACCTAACCCCTGATTTTCATCTGTTCGTGGTCTCTGCGAGTTTAACACACCCACCATTTCTCATTCTGGTCCACCCTCTGAGGTCCCATGGGTAACAATATTTAGATTTCTTACTGTCAGAAGGACCTCTAGTGAGGCTACCTTTAGAAACTATATTAGTGACCAAGACGAGGAATGGTGTTTATCTGCTACTGTACAACAGAATCTCTACTAACAAAAAAAAGTATTAAGGCCAGTGTAAGCAAAGTATATTCTTTGAAATGACCTGCACTTGAAAAATCTGTCAGTCAGCTCTTTAACTTCGAAGGCAGCTTTGCCCATTTACTGATAACTATCAGTCGAACCTAAGCCTTTACATCTTCCATCTCTTTCTTTGCAGTGGCTCCTCACTGCTACTAATCCATCCATTGCAGAGGCTGCTTACCAAGGTTTAGTGAGGAAATGTTAAAAGAATTCAAGTTATGCAATGGAAAAACTGTTGACATAAATTAATAAATTGTAGGTATCCCTCATGGTATGTAAGAAACTGAAACAAGGCAGTCATGTGTTATTTGAGAGTGTTTTCCCAGAATTCTCCTGGAGAGTGTAAAAAGCATAGGAATCATCAGTCACGACAGCCTAGTCAAGATCTGAGCCACAGAACTCCGGAAATATAAATTTAAAGAATCATCTGGTGACAGTTTGATACAAAGGTGTTTTAGAACAAACATGCCTCCACTTACCCTAAGGACAAAGATTTCGCCTGTCGTCCGGTTGATGTCAAACTTGCTGTTGGACGGATTATCAGCATCGATGCCCTGACCCGTGAGAAAGTATACGATGTTCTGTGGTCGGTCTTTGTCCCCATCTGTTGCTGTCACCTGCAATTGCAAACATAATCGATAACAGAATCCTTGCCAGAACACATAAATCAGTCATGTGATGAAAAGTACAGCTATTAATAAAGCTACTGCTCATGCTAGAAGGCTAAGTCTTTACTAAACCAATTCATTCTAACACAGAGACAATACAAGTGAAGTTCAGCTGCTACAGAACATTACTATGGTGGGATACCTTACTAAATGCTAACATGCCAAAAATGAACACATTAAGAAGATTACTGTTTTCTGGGATGTGACACCATATAGTTTTGTATATAGGTAACAATGTTATGGAGGAATCTGCTGGCTCTACCTTCTCTATCTTCTATGCTGAAGATGGAGGCACCAGAGTCCTTCAAGTCACTGGTACCTATGTACCAAACTAAAAGGTACTACATCCTAGAAGTCATTAATTTTCAGAATCATTACCACAAGAATCTGAGATCTCGCACACCTTATTAAATTTTCTTTATAAATTAAAAGCATGAATGATATTTCTGTTTATCTGTACATTTGCACAATCAAATGTGATGGTTAAGTTGGCAGCATCCCTACAGTCCTAAGATCCCTATTTCTAATCTTGCCTGAAAACCTACTATTCCGTGGATATTCATGATATTCCCAGTGGCCCCAGCAGGGTACTTTAATCCTTTGCAGAATCATTAAAATACACCACATCCTGATACCCTCAGACTAGTTAATTTTAATGTAATTTATCAATATGCTTTGGAGCACTTAAATGCAGCAGGGAACAGGTAATTTCAACTATAATCTACTATATGAGGTAGCCATCATTAAATGTCCAGTATCCAAATATGGGTGTGGGTAGGGCTCTTTATAGTTTTCAATGTGAAGTGTCTCAGCATGTATTGCATGGATATATTTTGCATGATAAGTCCTCTTTGAGCAATCTGATAATAACATTCAAGTTGGGCGATATGGAAGAAACAGTGAAACACTCCTGACAACTTTATGTGCAGGCCTACATGCCAACACTACATCCCACTGACACCCATCAAGTGGCTTAGAAGATGATTTGGCACAGAATCGACCATGGCCTGTTTTAAGGTACAATATCACTATTCTCATGGTTCTGGAGCTTTTAATAAGATATCACCGTGCAACGTACAACAACAGCTGTATCAATCACCGTGGATGGCATCAGTTCAGTTATGAAAACTAAATTACTGGCCTCAAGATGGATAATGTCAGTTGGGTTTTTACAACAGCCAGAGAGATCTCTTAGAGATAAAGTTGTCACTGTGCTTAGGTACTTATGTTCCCAGCCATGAATATATATGGGGGAGTGGAGGTATGGCTCATTCATTCTTGAGCTCGGCAGTAGATTGAGGTGAGTGGTTAGCTTTCACCTCAGCCACTTCACTCCGGAGGAAGGAACCCCGGGTACCCACTGGATAGGAGGTTGGGTGGGCCTCAGAGTCGGTCTGGAAGCTGTGGAGAAAATGAAATCTCTTGACCCTGCTGTGGACCAAACCCTGGCAGTCCAGCCCGTAGTATGTCACTGTACTGAGTGAGTTATCCCGGCTCCAGGGCGATCCCTTTCTGACTCTAATGATTCTCTTGACACAGAGCCGCCTTCTGTGTGAACATGGGTCTACTACATTCTTGGAATTCCACTACTACTAGCTGTATTAGCAGCAGCAGAAGTAGTAGTAGTAGCAGCAGAAGTAGTAGTAGTAGTAGAAGTAGTAGTAGTAGTAGTAGTAGTAGTAGTAGTAGTAGTAGTAGTAGTAGTAGTGGAAGCAGCAGTAGCAGTAAAGGTGGCGGCAGTACAGACTGTTTGATTTGTTTTAAGAGGAAGCATCTGTGACATGAGAACAGAGATGGTCTCAGGTAATTTAAATCTTGTTTCATGAGTTTTCCTCCATCCATGGCTTATAAAACCATGCAACCAATTACAACACCATCAAAGCTTGCCAACGGCTAGAGAAAGATTCAATTAATACGACACAGCGCATGCGCGTTGTCAGAGATTTAGACTCTGTCTTAATCAAGATACGTACCTCATAGGACCTACTGCACTCTTTGATAGTTGTATCTCGAGAGTTCGAAAGACTAACTTTTTATAATGAACCATATCGTCCATATCAACTTAAATTCTGTTCTGAGCCTTCCTCTTTACATGAAATGTTCTGAAATAATGTGGTATATGAAATGAGGTACTATACGAGGGTGGTTCAATGTTACCCTGGACTTTATTGCTGTTTCGTCCCTGAACACATGGAAACCAGAAAAATAATACGCTTTTATTGCGGGTTAATGGCACTTACTACCTGGTAGGTGGCCACGCACCCCGCTTCTGCGCATTAGAGCAGGCACAAGATGGCACCATACCTTTTCACTCCTACTGCAGGAGAGCGCGGTATCATCAAATTCTCAATAAAAGAGAAAGTGAAACAAACAGAAATTCTTGGTACGTTAAATGCACATTATGAGAAACAAACCCTGCCACGTGTCTATGATTAGTACATTGATATTTCTGCAGACCCAAAAAATTTAAGACTCAGCTATCAGCTGGCAAGACCACAACAAATATGTTTTCTGTTTCAGAATGAGTGATTCATGTTGATTTGCTTCTACATGATGCAATAATTATGCACAGTATTACAATAACTTGCTTCCCACTGATGTGCATGAAGCAATTCAGAAGAAAAGACCAGGGAAACTGTCAAAGAAAATAATTCCTGCTGTATATCAACGCTTGTCCTGAGACAGCAAATTTTATGAATACAAAATTAGCAAAAATTGGCTGGGGAATCATCGACTACCCTTCCTCCAGTCCTTAGTCCCCAGTGATTTTTATTTGGATCACTGAAGGTGCATCTAGGAGGGCAGAAATTTCAAACTGCCGATTAATTCAAACGCAGTGTCCTGAACTGGTTACGCAGTAAAGATAAACACTTTACAGCTGATGGAATCAGTAACTTGCCAGGATATTGAAAATGAAAAGTATCAGTGTAACTTCTTTTATTGCTAGTGGAGTTGGACTAAGTCCCTTGTACTGCGGCCACTTCTGGCCTATTGTACCAGCCCCAGATGATAGGTGATGGTGATTGTGGAGCAATTGGTGGAATGAAGATTGGCAGGGGAAACCGAAGTACCCGGAGAAAACCTGCCCAAGCGAAACTTTGTCCACCACAGATCTCACTTTACCAGACCCGAGATCAAACCCGGGCCGCCGGGGTGGGAAGCCAGCAACTAACCGCTTGAGCTATGGCGCGGCCCATGTATCAGTGTAGCCTAAAGGGAGAATATCTTGAGAAGAAGTGGGAGGCCGGTGATTCTAGCATGTATATTCTTTTTCTAAATAAATAAACAAATAAGAACAAAATCAAGGTCAACCTTGAGCCACCCTTGTATGTCTTTTGTAAGACGTCACTTAATGCTGTATAACTACGTGTACATTGGGTTCGTCGTCAACGCGCATGTTTAATAAACTTCATAAACAGTGTAAACAGGATAATTTAACCTCATAACTAACATAAAAACTTGGTGTATTGCAAGAAACACATTGATTCATTCTCGCTTATTAAATCCAGGATGTGATGTGGCATAACTTTTCTATATAAAACACCGTACCTCAATGCGGTGATGACGTTTGTAAATTCCCGCAGTAATTAGGGCACGGTCTCGTAGCAACCATCAGACCAAATGAAAATAAATGGGAAAGCCAGACGGAAACTACTGCGCTTTACAAGTTACAGGGCCCAACAGAATTCAGGAAGCTTTCGGTACGGATGGATGTGCCTGATAGGGATTCTAGTTGGCTTAATCCCGAGCACGGTTCTACAGGCATGGCAACTACATACCACGATGTTCTATCGAAGAAACTGGTTATGTTACTTTTCCTGAGTCTTCCTTGCGCAAGCAAACATACTATTCAAGTGCTATATTTTATTATTTACTGAAAAGTTGCTAGTTGTAACATCGACTAGATAATTAGCCGAATACGATGAAAAATACTGACTGTTGAAATTCATTTACCCGTTAAAGAGAAGATTGGATAGAGATGGAATGCAAAAACAAAACTCGAAATATGAAAGGAATGTTTTCACGCTAACTGTGTAGTCTGTGGCACAATACTTGATCACATTCCTTTGTTGAAGCCAGTGGTTCCCGCTATTCGTCACACCATAACAAATCAATTTCAACCACCGAATCGGCCAGTCCTTCTGTTCGTTCCCTAGTAACCAACCACATTCCTCTGTTGAAGCGAGACGCCTGCTGAGTTACACTAGACCGGAATGCAGCTAAAATATTTAACACATGTTCATAATTTAGGCTAATGTATCGTGCAAATTAACAACACACAGATCTTACATTAAAAACATGTTAACGTGCATTTAACAGAAGCTGGCTACAAGCTACAACATGTATGCGCATGAAGTGTGTGACCACATGCAAGGTAAAATAGTAACACATGCTACTGTCAGCCGAACATGAGGAAAAAAAAACACCCTGGATTATACGGTGTTACACAGATCTGTACGCCTTCCTTTAAAGTGAAACTTACAGAGAACATCTAATTAAATATAAGAGACAGTCAGCACGGCGGCTAGGATAGAGGATCGACCAGGCAAAGACAATAAAATCTTATCGTCTACGTTGTGCATAGTCTTATCCATTTGGTACTGGACGTTCTTTCTTCGGCGGTAAAGCAGCAGGGGCGTGAAGCTGAGCACTCACCTCCATCTAGTGCTAAGATTAAGAATGCACGGAACTATACCTCTACTCCCAAAACATGTTTATGGTGTAGTGCTTAACTAATAAGCAGAGGGACAACATCACCATTCTGGTCTACCATATCCATTTAGGGGTGGGGCGTGGGTATGTACTTCTAAAAAAAAAAAGTATGTATATGTGTTCTAATTTACATATCTGTGCGAAGAACACAAACATGGGCACAATGTTCTGGGCCAAACTATTTTATTCATTTTAATACACGTAAGTAGGTATAATATTTCCTAGCACTTGGGCTA